TAAGTTTTCTCTGTGGCGAGTTTGTGGAAGAGTCATTTACTTGAATGAAAATAAATACACTCTATACAATTGCTGGAGAGCTCAGTGCAGGAAAAACAACATCAAATATTGCTACTAATACAACACAACTTTCAGCACCCACTTATATGAGTTTTAAATATCTCTGTCAATAACACTAGAGTGTAGGTTCTAAGATTCCAATGTTTTCAGGTAAGGAAACAAAATCTCAGAGAGTTTAGATAACTTATCAAAGTCCTTGGTTAGTGAGTCACAGTTTAGACTCTGTTTCCAGAGCCTGTCAGTTCTTTGTCCTCTTTAGAAGATATCTAGACTTTCTCTCTTCAAAACATGTCATAGCTTACTTTAATCCTTGTCAGAGTAACATGACATTAAAAATATAGGGATTGGCTTTACCCAGATTACAAAACAGAATAAATTTAAGAGATAATCAGGAGGGAAATAATACCCTATTTCTTTTATGGTCAAATACCAGCTAGGGACAAATTTAGTGTTAAGTCATTTGAGTATATCCTAGGCTTTGTATGTAGTTCTAACAGGATCACTACAGACTGATCAGCCAGGAAGAGGTGAAGACTTGGTAGCAACTAAGGATGCAAGAGCATGCAAAGTGGTCATTTCTTTCCAAGGTGATCATTATTAAACACCGTGTTATTAAACAAACTATAGTTCTACCTGGCACAAATATTTGCTGAATAAACATCAGCAATACCTGACAGATTATTATCCTCAGTGTACAAAGAACTCAAAAACCTAAACAAGAAAATAATTTAATCCAAAAAATTTGGTTAAGAAGCATGGTCAGTCCAAGTGGCATACCTTTAAAATATTTATATGTGTGTGCATATATGTGTTAGATATAATTTTACATCAATAGGAAATAATGATTTCTGGAGATTTTATGAAACATCCTTAATGATACTTGTCCCTCATTCACCCCTCTCTGTCTATATTGACCTCCTTCCCCTCCTCTATAGAAGTCTCCTTTCCAGATTTTCCCATTTCCCCCTTCAAATTACCTGTATCCTGCCACAACCACCCCTAGTAGCAGACATGGAAAATCTCCATTTGAGTTGTTGGTCAGGGTAGTCCAAGTGACCTCCAATACAACATAGGTCATTGCTGTTGCCCTTGGTTGAGCGAAGTCCCTATTGCTGAAGGCCCAGAAGATTGCTTTTGTCTAGCTTCCATAGAACAGAAAGTACATTGTTTAAGATGCCAGGGTGGGGGGAAGGAATCAATAATACTATCCATCTGTGATGCCTAGGAACCACAACATTAACCAGCCTGGCAAGATATCCCTACTGATGGAATAGTCGTACTCATATCTTGGTGGTGACCCTGGCTGTCTACTTGGGAGTTAGGCCCACTCAACAGGAAAGAAATAATGTCTGGTACTAGAAATCTTGCCAACTACTTGGGGTTAAGTGAGGTCATGAATCTTAAAGGAGACCCCACTATCATTACTTTACTAGACCAGCATAATTCCTAACTGCATTCTGCCCATAGGTAAAGTGTTACTCCTACAGCAAAGAAGCCTCTCTTGCAGCAAATGGAGAACATTGCTGATAACCACAACTGGTCATAATGCTGTGATCAACTGATCATGAGGCTCAGTGGATACATCACAACACAACACCTGCACCTAAAGCTCAGAACACTGCAGAAGAGGTGGGCAGAAACATTGTGAGAGTCAGGTGACCAGGAAGACAGCTGTGAGATGGGGGTCTCCTAGAAATGACAGGAGTGGGACACCTATGACATCTCAGCATTTGGCTGCCTACACAGACCTGAACAATGACACCAATAAGCATGCTGACACAGAAAAAAAGAATTCATGTGTCACCACCCCTAGACAAGGAACTCCAGGCAACTAATGACTGCTGAGAAAGGTAATCAGTCTCTCCTTGGTATGAGCCTCCCAATTGTTTATCCAATACAAAATGGTCAGCCCTGAAATCAAATATGCACAAGCAACACTAAAGGGACTTGCCAGGTTGTATTTATCTTTTTATATGTTTATGCAAACACACACACACACACATACCAATAATGATTGTGATGATATATTATTTATGATTTATTAAAGCTTGCCTCAGGATTCAGAAAGCAAAGTCAGCGACAAGCCATAGAAGCCAGGCACACACCTTTAATCCCAGCAGCCAGAATCGAGAAGGTGGTGGTACACACCTTTAACCCTAGGACTCAGGATTCAGAGGTAGACTGATCACTGTGAGTCCAAGGCCACCCAGTTCTACACCAGACTGAATCAGTAAAGAAGAGAATAATAGCTCACATCTTTAATCCCAGGACTCATGAGAGGCATACAAGACAGGAGCAAGGACTCGTTATCAGGCATTCATTCTCCAGCCACGTTGAGAATAGGAAGGTCCCAGCCTATTTAGAGGTAAGAGCTCTCTGGTAGCTTGGCTGCTTTGCTTCCCTGATCTTCAGGTTGAACCCAATATCTGTCACTGCATCTTTTATTTTATAACCAAAGAAAAGAGGTCATCAATGTGAGAGGGTCTTGTAGGAGACATGGGAGGAGTTGGAGGGAGGAAAGGGGGAAGTGATGTAATTATATTTTAAGTTAAAATGGAAAAAAATGTCAGGTGGTGGTGCTCGCCTTTAATTCCAGCACTTGGGAGGGTTGTGAGTTCAAGGGCCTCCCAGGGAAACTCTGTCTTGAAAGGAGGGGGCAGGGAAATGAATAAAATTCTCAAGAAGAAATACAGATAGCCACAGAATATTTTCAAAAGTCTTCAACATCCTTAGTGACTAAAGAATTCAAATTAAAACTAATTTGAGACTCCATCTCAGCCCTGTCTGAATGACTATAATCAAGAAGACAAATGACAACAAATGCTGGCTAGGGTGAAGGGAAAGAGGGGCCCATGTTAGGGTTGGCTGGAATGTAAACTGGTGTAGCTACTATATCACACTGTTTCTTGAAAAGCTGCAAACTAGAACTACTGTACATCCCAGCTATACCACTCAAGCAAACACCCAGAGGAGTCCACATCCTACTACTCAGCCACGCTTACTGTAGCTCTATTTAGAACTAAGAAATGAAATCAGTCTAGATATCCATCAACAGATGAGTAATGAAAATAGAGTATATATGAATTTTACTCAGCCATTCAGGAAAAAAAAAAAGACTTTTAGGAAAACTGGTAGAACTGGAAAATATTGAGGCTTCAAAAAGCAAACACCCTATGTTCTCTCTCATATTCAGATTTTGGTTTTGGTGTTTATGTATGTGTGTGTAGACACCAGGAAATTAAAAGGGTGTCCATGAGGTACAGAGGGAGTTTCATCAAGGGCAAGGGGAGTGCAAGGTACTAGAACACATTTAGTAAGGATGGAAGGATACTGGAGAAGGGTTTAAGAGGGATTTGGAGCTGGGAGATCGAGAGAGACAGGGTTCAAGGAGGTACAACCCAAATTACGTATGTATGAAAGTGACATAAGGAACCCTACTACTTTGTAAACTATAAAATTACAGAAATTAAAAAAAAAATGCCATACTGAAAACAAAGAACAACAACCAAACAAGCACCTCAGCCTATAAAACACAAGGCTTAAAATTCAGTAAATACTAATTTAACTAACTTTCTGTGAAAAGTAAGACTGACCATGAATTTTTAGTCTTCGGGAGTCTACAAAATGACATGTCAAAAAGAGCACACTTGTCTCAGAATTTTTGCCTTAAATTTTCAGCATTAAAGTGGGAATCTATCCTTGACTTTATAGCAATTGTTAGTACTTAGAGGCACAATTTTCTAGAGGGGTGATTCTTAACCAAAAGGTTGGAGATGGTGGCAGTGTCTTTAAGGGAAAGATCAATTTGCAAAATACGGCCCAAGTTTCTTTTAGTTTGGATCATCGTTTGATTTAACATTTCTTTCCTCAACTGATATATATACTGGGGCTCTGATAGAAAAAATTAGGTATTTATAGAGTGCAAGATTTTTGAGTCCAAGATTCCAAGCTATATAACCTAACAGATACTCCATCCTTGGGGCTTAAGAGGTGGCTAAGTGGCTGAGTGTTTACAGCTTTTGAAGAGGGCCCACACGATAGCTCATGCCCGCCTGTAACTCCAGTTCCAGAGGCTCTAAGGCCTTATTGCAGCCTCCATGGGCTTTTGCACACACATGGTTGCACATGAAGTCGAGCTGGTTCACACACATACACATTAAGAAAATCTTTAAAACTTAAGTGCTGATTTGCGTATCCAATCACAAGGGAGAAATGTGGGTGTTTCCTCCATACAGCGGGTGAGCTCATACTTAATAATGGAGTGCATCTGTTAGGCCATGACTCAGTGTACCCAAATTATAAGGACGGCTATTTCTAGCCTTGGGGATCAACAAGCACATGATTTTGAGGTCAGCTGTCGTCTGAAATCATACTAAGGGCCTAGGATTTCAATTTCGGAAGAAATAAGCCCTTTTCCAAATTCATGCCTCCGATGTGTCCTGCTCATTTTCAAACTCTAACAAGAAGGGAGGAGGGGAGTGGTTCAAGAGGTATCCTGCAAGCAAAGGCCACAGACGTCCTTTGTCAGGTGGCCTTGAGACCGAAGGGTCAGGGGCCTGGCTTTGAAAACACCCAGTAAAGGACGAGACAGAAGCCATCTATTAAGTATTCTCTTTTGGCGGAACCAGAACTGAGACTTGATGTGGCTTCCTTTAGCACACCACAAAACCCAAACAGCCCAGCACTCCTTGACGTTTGTTCCTGAGGCGCCAAGCTTCCAGACAGTCGCCCACGCTCGGGGGCCAGCTGACGCCGGTTCCACCTGCGCCGGCTGTCGCACGCCCCTCGGGATTTTTCCACTGCTCCACCTGCTCACACCCACCGCAGCTCCGGCTCGGAGATGATGCTCCGCCTGGCGGGCTCGCTCAGAGTGGCGGCACTGGGGACCAGATTCGCTCTCAGCGCTTCCTAGCCGGAAGCGCGCTCTACTCCCGCCCCCTCCCGCCGGCGGATCCGGAAGTGGGGGTCGGCAGCCGCGCGCCGCCCTCCGCGGGCCCCCGGGTACGATGCTCTCCGGCCCCGGCTGCCACCTCCGGGCCTCGGTAGCACCCGCCGCGGTCCTGGCTGCGGCGCTGCTCTCGTCGTTCGCGCGCTGCTCCCTCCCGGCGCGCGGCGACCCAGCGGCGTCGGTGCTCAGCCCCTACTTCGGCACCAAGACTCGCTACGAAGATGTCAACCCCTGGCTGCTGGTCGACCCGGCGGCGCCGCGCCGGGACCCGGAGCTGCTGGCGGGGACCTGCACCCCGGTGCAGCTGGTCGCCCTCATCCGCCACGGCACCCGCTACCCCACGACCAAGCAGATCCGCAAGCTCAGGCAGCTGCAGGGGCTGCTGCAGACCCGGGGACCCGGGGACCGCGGGAGCGGAGTGGCCGCCGCGCTGGTAGAGTGGCCGCTGTGGTACGATGACTGGATGGACGGGCAGCTGGTGGAGAAGGGGCGGCAGGACATGCGACAGCTGGCACTGCGCCTGGCCGCCCTCTTCCCGGACCTCTTCAGCCGGGAGAACTACGGCCGCCTGCGCCTGGTCACCAGCTCCAAGCACCGCTGTGTGGACAGCAGTACCGCCTTCCTCCAAGGGCTGTGGCAGCACTACCACCCTGGACTGCCACCGCCCGACGTCTCAGGTGACAGCGCGCCCCGCCTCCCCCCCACCCGGACCCCCAGCTCAGCCTCTGCTCGCGGCCCCCTTTCCAGCCCTTCGCTCCCACCCCCAACCGCGTTTGCGCTCTCGGGGCTCAGGATGCCGTGGACTTGGCTGTCTCTGTTATTTTAGAAGTACGCTCGTGTAGTCATTCATCAGATGTGAATTCCTAGCATTTTTTGCGTAAGGGATCTGTAGGGGACGCTGGAGATCCAGCCGGAAGGAGAGGGGGGAAAAGTGTCGCTCCTAGTTTTACATTCCCCATTCTCAAATCGTGTTGTCCCTCTGAACGCCAACCTTTCTTTCCCTTCCTGGTAACTGGTTTTTAACAACTGGGCGCGTTCTTTGAAATAATATAGAACTTTCTTCCTCTGCTTTGCTTATGGGAGTTGGACTTAAAAACAAAAACATCATCTTCTCAGGTGTTTCTACATTTACACATTCTACATTTACTTGCTGTTTGAAGAAGCCACTCCTCAAATTTCTCTCTGTGCCCTACTTTCCCCTTCTGTTTTGTTCTTTGCTGCCCTTACATAGTTTATGACGAGTCAGGCCAGAATCCAGGCTTGTGGCTTTTCTCGGTTGGTGCTTTTTCCCTCCGAAAATGTTATAGTTGCTATGGAAGTTACCGCAAACATAATGCCTCTGTGTGCCATGCGTGCTTCACATTTAGTTTGGTGAATTCTTACCATTGCTTTATGAAGCTGCTACCTGTGCCTCCTGTCAATCTCACGGATGAAGAAATAAAACAAAAAATAACCAAGTAACTTGCCCATTTTCATACAAATGTGGATCTAGGAAATCCGATTTAGAACTTGCTCTCAACTGTTACATCATACATCTTCTGTTTGTTTGCCTGTAACATACCCGATGAAATAGCATGCAACGTTTTTGTACCGAAAGATGAGCAATTGTTAGCAACTGCTTATCAGTTTTAAGGGAAAAGAACTGAAGTGAGGGGCCTCATGAGCCTTCAGAGATTCAAAAAACTAGGACTCGGCTTGTCATTTCTTCCGTAGCATTTAAAGGCCTCTTCTAGAAACTTTCCCAGTGTTGTGTGCCATGTTACTACTTTGTGGATAACTTAGCCGGCTGACATATGTGTGCTTATTTGTTGAGTGTGCTGTTTAATTATGACTTCCTCTTCCACCTCCCCAGCAACTGCTCCAGTCTCTTCATCAATGTGTTTTTCCCCCACACATATCGTAAATGTCTGTTAGATGTTCTCTTTTCACTCTTTAAAACTTAAGTAATTGTCACTTACGCCAGTGACTTACACATGTATGCGTTTTTTTTTTTTTCCACTTCAGATATGGAGTGTGACCCTCCAAGAATTAATGATAAATTAATGAGGTTCTTTGATCATTGTGAGAAGTTTTTAACGGACGTGGAAAGAAATGAGTCAGCTCTTTATCATGTAGAAGCCTTCAAAACGGGACCTGAAATGCAGAAGATTTTAAACAAAGTTGCAACTACTTTGCAAGTGCCAGTAAACAGTTTAAATGCAGGTAATACTAAATAAAATCTGTTGTATTTCATTTAAATTTTGGTTTAAATGGCTTGGAAGTGTTAAATATAAACAAGTAAATAGAATAGTTACTCTTCTTAGGGGTCACAATTACATTTATGTTAACTAAATAGTATGTCTTGGGTTGAGAAAACTATATACTACATGCTTAATTTTATTTTTATATTCTTTAAATCTTTTGTAAGCTAATGTACAAGGTTCTTAAATGTGGACGTTTTTATGAAAGCCTCACCTCTAAGCATAACTTGTAATTTAAAAATCATCTTTTCTAAATTATCTCTTTGTAGCACAATGCAAGTAAAAAATCATGTAAATCATTTCATTTTGGAAACTTTAGGAGTACATGTTACTGTGGAGAATGGTAGTTTTAGAAAGTGAAAAGTAAGGTGGGTTTGCAGCTTTTATATGTATGGATTCCAAGGAAATGAGTAGCTACATCTGTCTTGAGCTGTCATAGTGAATCGACTGCCTATGGTTTGTCATCTATGCTGGGACACTTTGGAGAGTGAAAAGTGAATGACCGAAAGTCAAACACAGAGCACATGGTCACCTATCAACTTAAAATTAAGAAAGTGAAGGTTTTTTTCTTATTTTTCCAGAACTTTTAAATTTATTATGGATATTGGCGAGTGTTAATATGCAGAGAAGTGATTATATGTCTCATTATATTGTTTGTGAGTTAGTGTCCAAAAGATCAGGAGAAGAAGGTGTTGGTGGGAGGAGGGAAACATTAAAATCTACCACTATACCTGACTTGAAAAAGTGTGTGTTTGGTCATGAGTTTTCTGGTTATAGAATACACCATCTTATAGTTTGAGAGCTAGAACTGAGGCCCCAAATGAGCTATGCCATGTCATCAGACATAGTGTTAGCAAGCCACTCTGTTTTATTAGGTGTTGTGATTATAAAACCTTCCTCTTTATAGAAGGCAAAGTTTCCAATACCTTTTATGTATATTCTTAATGAAACATAAATACAAGTCTTTTAAAAAGATTTTGTTTTGTGTGTGTGTATGAATGTGTGTGTGTGTGTGTGTGTGTGTGTGTGTGTGTATCACATGTATTGCCTGGTGGTTCATATGGAGGCCAGAAGAAGGGTTGGTCAGACCATCTGGAACTGATTACAGACCATTGTGAGCTTTTATGTGGGTGCTGGGAATAGAACCTGGGTCCTCTATCAGAGCAGCTGGGGCTTTTAACTGCTGATCCATCTTTCCAACCCCCAAATGTATTTTTCTGTTAAATATATTACCTGAGGAATTTTTTAAACTGAACTGATATTGAATGTATATACCATGAGTTAATTAGTCTTGGTCTCATTTTCCTTTGGGAAAGAAAAACACAGTAAAATGAACCAAAAGTCAAGAGTAGTGGTAGTAGCCCCTACGGTTGACACCTCATCCCTCACTCCCTGATCTCTAGCTTTAGATGTTTCCCACGTGTTCACTAGAGAACTCAGTGTGTGATTCCTCTTAACCAAGGCCTCCTTTCTTAGTCCAAGCAGTGATTTACGTATCCCTTTCTTTAGTACCCACTTGTGCGTAAAGTAAAGCAGTTAGCAGTCTAAACATCCCTGGTTCCTGGTTCTGAAATCTGCTGAAATTTCTTGCCAGCTGAGTTTGGGAAATGGATTTGGTTACCAAGTTCCTTGCTAGTATGGGGCGTCTTTCATTGTTCTCTGCTTGCAGTCTTCCTCCTCCCTTGCCCCTTCGTTCTGTTCTTCCTTCTCAATCTTCGTGTCTCTATTTATGTGCTTACTAGGTACACTGTGAACTGTTTTGTAGTTTTAAAAACAGATAATAAATATATTGTCATTATTAATGCTCAAGTGATGACTAAAACATTTAAAACTTGTGCTCCCCTTCTCAACCCTTCTAAAAGTGTCTGTGTGGAGTTCTATTCAATAAGTCATCAGATTGACCCTTTGCTGGGTGTGCTGTGCAACATGCACTTAAAAACCAACTGGGTTTAAAAACTATAAAAATTGCCATTTGCAGACCGCTTCACAGTCTCATTGGCCTGACGTGTCTCCCTCGAGGTTTCTCCTGGTGGTTACAGAGTTGTCCATTTGTATTGCACAGGTCAAACCTTAATCCTCTGATAGTCTCATCTCCATAAATACTCAGTTTTTTCAGCTGTGTGTGTAACTATGCACATAGTACTCTATGAGTACGTAGCCTTTAAAAACTAGAGAAGCTAATAACCTGCAAATTTTGCCTATTTTTCTCCCCTAGACTTAGTTCAGGTGGCCTTTTTCACCTGTTCATTTGACCTGGCGATTAAAGGTGTCCATTCTCCCTGGTGTGGTGTGTTTGATGTAGATGATGCAAAGGTAAGTTCCGTTTGTAATTTTTTTTTCCTGATGGTTTTTTAGCCACTATTTGACTTCTTTTGCTGTTTACTTAAAGCAGTGTCCCAAAAAATAAGTAAGATTAGGGGATATAAGTTGCCTGTGACTAGCTCCCAGTTTTCCTAAGGAGGGATGGATGCTCAAGTAGGTAAATAATTTGGGTTCATAGAACTCAGAAAAACTTTTTTTTTTCATAGTAAGTTGATTTCTAGGTCCCCGCAGCATCCCAATTAACCCACTCCTGGGAGAGGTGGCAGGCCTCAAACACTCAGAGAGGCCCGTGTCCCACAGACCTGGTTCAACCCATGAACCATTCAATCATCAATTTCATGAGAAACTGACTAAGAGGTGCCTGGTTCCACCTGGTGGTGGCAGCGACGCACCACAGTCTCATCTGTCCCCTTCATTTCCCTTGTTGTCACCTGATCCGTGGACTTTGAAGGAGTATCGAGAGACCTCGGATGACTTGACCGGAGATACAGCTTGCTTGACTCTTGAGTGCTGGGGTCTAGAAAGAAGGGATTAGGAGACTATTCTGGATTGTCCAGGATTATGGACTTTTGGACCTTAGTTACTCTTTGTATATATAATAAAAAATGTCAGTGTTTCACATGGGAATTGAGAATTGCCTCCCAATTTACTTAAATTCTAAAGAAATATGCTCCTTGCCAATAGAGCAGGATTTCAAGCACATGAAGGTGCTTTATTGTGTTTAATGAAGGCTTAGGTGGCCAGCAGCAGGTCAGAGGTCATGCCATGGTTCCTGTACCAGTGCAGGAGGGGCTCGTGGGAGCATTAAGAGGAGTGAAGGACGCTCAGTGAATGCCTGCTGTAGGGTGCTGAGTGCCAGGGAGGATGGGTGTTTGTTACTCCCTTTGTTATCTGAGTCACTGCTGGATGCCCTATTTCTTCTCACCCCCCAGTAACCTTCTGTAATGGGCTCCAAACTCACTAAGTTCCTACTGCGGGGAGAATTGGCAGGGCCAGTGTAAAGCCAAGTTATCCTCAAAGAGAACGTTTCTCACAGACCTGAGTCTTTATCACCTTCCCAATCCCCGTTCATGTTTTAGTCTTTCTAGTTAGCTATAAAATAATGGGTTTGACTGTGTACATACATGTCATATAATAACCTCACTGTCCCCTCTTCTGCCCTGCTCCATTCCCCTTCTCCACTTCTCTGCCCGCCCCAGCCAGTTTTCTGTATATGAAAGAAAGCATGAGATGTTTGTCTTTCCCCTGTTGCCCGCTTTCGTTTCCCCACCTCTCCCCCCTTTAGATTTCTTCCTTCCCCCTCATTCCTCCTTTAACTGGACACTTTTAAAACAAAAAGAGCACCATTAATAACTTTACCAATCTAAATACAAAGATATTTCTGGTCACTATTCACATACGTCAAAACAGCTCCTTCCCTCCCTACTCACACTGCTTGGGTCCAGGGGAAAATCATAACTGAGATGATTTTCAATATTATATACACAATGAATTTTGATAACAGAGAAATTTCATGTAACTGAATTAATCTGCCCAGGTTACTGTAGTTGTTAGAACCTTTAGGATGTAATTGACTCAGCTGTCTGTTCTTTCCTACTCTGAGTGGCTTTGTCCATGTGGTCCCTTGTAAAGACTGATAGTGCCTCTTTCAGGACACACTTGACTCACACACACACACACACATTCACATTCACACAATAAATGCATAACAAATTTTAAATGAAGAGACATTAACACAATTCTGAGAACTGTGAAGATTTTTACTTATATAGGACCTTGTGAAATGCTGGACCACTTGTGCTGTTATTTAGCCAACAATTGTTTTAGTGGCTGTTTTATGTCAGGCATTTGCTTAGAACTGAAAATACTTACACAAGATAAGCACAAGGAATGGGCGATGTTAATAGAAGCTCTCCTGTGGTGATGGGATGGTTGAGATAAAAGTCACCAGAAGTCAGTTCATCAGCAGCCAGGAAGCTCTTTACAAAAGAGCCAGCCACTCTCTGTACTATTACCTATTTTGCAGCCCTGAGCCCACTTCTGTTGTGAATGCATCTGTGTTTCCTAGCCTGTCATCAACTTTTGTGTTTAAGATTTTCCTGTAAAAATCATTTGAATTATCCAGATCTGCTGTCTAGTAAGCCTGCCCCTCAACACTTAAAAACTCAACTTCTCTTTAGATCTTTGACTCTAGTTTTTGTTTACTCAGATTTTCCCAAGTCAGGTATACTTCACTATAAAATTCTGTTGTGCCTGAACTTTCCAGTTTATTATATGACATATTAAGGGTGTGCATGGCATGTTTTTTTTAATGATAATTTGCTACTGTTTTTATTCCTAATTCTATTGTTTTATTTCTGACTAGGTTTAATATTGCTGTCTGTCTGTATATTGTGGCTACTTTTCCCTTTTGCCAACTTTGATGCACTTTGTTTAGAATCCAGCACACTGGCCTAACTCTGCTCCTAATCTTTGATTAGTACCGGGTTTCTCTAGTAGATCTTGCCTTAAAATTCTTAAAATTTCAATTGACTGGGATTAGAGGTCAGAAGAAAGGGGCCAGAGCTGATGATCTTTATTTCCCTTTAGCCCCGACTCAAAGTTTTGGTGGCTCAGATGTTGCTGTGAGTCCTGGACCTTGGAGGGCAGTCCTTAGACGCCTGAGGCAGCAGCTGTGGGTGGTGAAAGCTAAGATTGTGCTGTTTGCTCTATAATGAAATTAGTGTAACTCTCCTGAGAATTATTGTCAATCAGGAAATCAGTTACATTTCTGGAACTGTATTAGAAATTACTTTTGATATGTTCCTGTTTAGGTACTGGAATATTTAAATGATCTGAAACAGTATTGGAAACGAAGTTACGGCTATACCATTAACAGCCGATCCAGCTGCACCCTGTTTCAGGATATCTTTCTACACCTGGACAAAGCAGTCGAGCAGAAGCAAAGGTAAAAACATCCTTAAAAATGTGGCATTCATTTGGAGCTTGCTCTTTATAAGCTTCTGGCAAATACCTCATAATGCATGCTTTTTTGTGTATTTTTTTTAAAGATATGATAATTGATATTGCCCAATCAGTATACTAGTTCTATTGAAGTAGTATTGTGCATTGTCTCAAGACCTGTCCCCCACCCCTCCCGCCACCTCAACATTCCATTTCTGATAATAGTTCTGTAATTACATATGAACTGTAGTGAAGTCGTCCATGCTGTAAATGTGTGGTAGCTTTAACCATCTTCACATCTTAGTGGCCCTTGAGTTCTTTGTAATTTGTTATAAAATAGTTCCTGATGTGAAGATGCAAAGTGCTTTTCCTTTAAAAGAGAATCTCTCATTTGAAGAAAAGAAGCTTTTGTTGACATTCATACTTTAAGTTATTTTTACAAATAAGTTCTCACGGGCTTGAGGATATAGCTCAGTGATCGAGTGCATGCTGAGTGTGAGCTCTCTAGCACCAAAGACAAGCCAGCAAAATTAAAGATCAGGGTAGAAACGTTTAATAGGCCTGTTTCATTTGACAGATACATATTTACAGATGTTGGACCAAAATGGGGCAGCAGACACTAGGGATGGTCTGTTCCATGGGAGTTTAAGTAGGACGTTTTTTCACATCAGTGTATTTTATTTATGGACCAAGCAGTAGTTTATAAGATGTTCTTGGTTATGACAGGAGGTAGGGGAAAGCCCCAATAAAACCCCCAACTACATAACTCTGGTTTCTGCTACCAGAAACATTTTTAAAAAGGCACGTGTTTGTTTGTTTGTTGATTAATGTATGGGGATCAGGGAATGACTTACAGGAGTTGATTTTTTCTCCCACCACAGGGGTTCTGGCTATGAACCTTGAGTCACTGGGCTTGGTTCTTTTACCAGCTGAGCCATCTTGCTGGTCCAACCAGAAGCTTCTGTGGTGATTTCAAATAAAGATAATACTGATGATAAGAGTTAACGTTTTCCTGTTTGACTTTCTGAATGGCTTCCAGCCCTTATGTTTATGAGATAACAGACCTTTCCTGGTTGGTCATTGTTCATTGGCTCAGTAAATTCATAATTGCGTCAGCAGGCTCTTAATAACTTTGTAAGGCTTGGTAGTATAATTTAGTTTTTGTTCAAAGCTTAAGTAATAAAAGTCTATATCAGTAGTGTTTTGAAATAAATGAGAATTTCTTTATACTGAAAATTCAACATAGTACAAAGAGAGAAATTCCAAATAACCTCCAGAATTGCAAAACCCAGTAATTGGTTGAGTAGAATTCTTTGATTTTTTTGTTTTGTTTTTCTTTCTTTTTGAGATAAGGTTTCTCTATTATGTAGCTCCGGCTGTCCTAGAACTCACTGTGTAGACTCATAGTCCCTGCCTCCCAAGTGCTGTGATTAAAGGAGTGCACCACCACACCTGGCTATGGTTGAGTGGAATTCTTATCAAAATATGACCAGTTTCTTTGTAGAAAATGATATGTTAGTTCCAAATTTACACAGGGATTTGAAGGTCTATAGGAATGAAAATAATTTTGAAAAAGATCAAAAGGATTTGACATACTTCTGTTAGAACATACAGAGAGCCTGGTGTGCTGGTGTGCACCTGGTATGCTGGTGTGCTCCCTGGTGTGCTGGTGTGCTCCCAATGTGCTCCTAGTGTGCTGGTGTGCACCTGGTGTGCTGGTGTGTTGTGTGTACCTAATGTACTGGTGTGCTCCTGGTGTATTCCCTGTATACTCCTAGTGTGCTGGTGTGCTCCTGGTGTGCTGGTGTGCACCTGGTATGCTGGTGTGCCCCCCCCCGTACTCCTAGTGTGCTGGTGTGCTCCTGGTGTGGTCCTGTGTTCTCCTAGTGTGCTGGTGTGCTCCCTGGTGTTCTCCTAGTGTGCTGGTGTGCTCCTGGTGTGCTGGTGTGCTCCCAATGTGCTCCTAGTGTGCTGGTGTGCTCCTGGTGTGCTCCCTGGTGTGCTGGTGTGCTCCCAATGTGCTCCTGGTATGCTGGTGTGCTCCTGGTGTGCTCCTAGTGTGCTGGTGTGCTCCTGGTGTGCTGGTGTGCTCCTAGTGTGCTGGTGTGCTCCTGGTGTGCTCCTAGTGTGCTGGTGTGCTCCTAGTGTGCTGGTGTGCTCCTAGTGTGCTGGTGTGCTCCTGGTGTGCTCCTAGTGTGCTGGTGTGCTCCTGGTGTGCTCCTAGTGTGCTGGTGTGCTCCTGGTATGCTCCTAGTGTGCTGGTGTGCTCCTGGTGTGCTCCTAGTGTGCTGGTGTGCTCCTGGTATGCTCCTAGTGTGCTGTGTGCTCCTGGTGTGCTCCTAGTGTGCTGGTGTGCACCTGGTATGTTGGTGTGCTCCCTGGTGTGCTCCTAGTGTGCTGGTGTGCTCCTGGTATGCTCCTAGTGTGCTGTGTGCTCCTGGAATCCCAGCACATCTATATCCATGTGTTCCCCTCCTCAGTATTTAGTTAACTGTGGCTGTAAATTCACATGAGTACTGATTTTTTTTATTTGCCATTATTCTTTGAATAATACTGAATATTAACCTTTACATAGCCATTAGAAATAATCTGGGGCAAATAAGAAGATCAAGCTCATTCATGGCTGATGGAAATGTAAAATATAATACCATTTCTGGAAAACATAGCACTTTCTTACATTAAACATCTATGTGACTGAGCAAATCAAAGCAAATTATCTACTTGGTAGTAATAATGGTCTCTTATGCCTTGAGTATTTCAGATTTTGTAACTAATAGGGTTACTCAGGTTATATAATTCTTTCTTTTAAAATTAGATGTTATCATTGAAACCACTGTGCCATGACACCCTTGAAGAGGGGCACAATAACTTTGTACTGTTTTTATCAATTTACTCATTAAAACGGGGCGGGGGGTGATCTCTTAAAGTTCTTTTAGGAGTGTGTTCACATTCTAGGTAATTTTGTAAAGTCGGGGCCATGGTCTTTTTTTTAGTGCTAGATATTGAAAGATGAAGGGTTAAATAAGGGGAGTTCATATAACTAGCATAACTATTCCCTAAGTTCAGATTCATATGTTTTCTGGGGTTTCTGTTTTGTCCTGTTTGTTTTGGATAGACAAGTTTTTATTATCCTGTGTGGGTCAAAGACATTTTCAATATACTGCTCTTCAGTATCTCAGTGCCTTGGGTAGTTGGTGCTGGGTGTGTGTATGATGTAGAGTATGGTGTAGATAGTGACTGCTTTTTCTCCTCCTTATGTTAGTGCCACTTCAGCCTCCCAGACATCCAAGCCACAAGCCTACCACATCATAGCGGACTCCATCTCCCTCACTTTCTCTATCTAGTCATTGCCTTGTGGGTTTTAAAATTTCATTTCGTTGTTTATTTACCTATGTCCCTCTGCCCTCACCTAGCCTGCAGGCTCTAGGTAGTCAATGGGGCAGTTGGTGGGGTCAGCTCATTTGCCGGTTTTCTCTCTCACTCTGTTGTCTGTGTAAAAACTGCTGTTTCATATCATTCCTCCCACTCCCTAGGACCAGTAGGGAGGATAATAGCAGCTTTATCCCCGTTCTTCTATTTATCCCCGTTCTTCTATCTTGTGAGCTTAATTTCTGCAGGGTTTTGCTTGAGAAAAAACTGTCATTTTTAATTCTAGACGTATACTTCTCCAGGGACTTACCGTAAACAAAAATTGATTTTGACTAATTTTCTTAAAGCTCTGGCCGTTCCGGCCACTTGTTTGTGCTCTTACGTAAGTGTGCAAGTAGTGAGATTCTCCCAAAGCTCCATCTGACATTCCTAGATCGCCGCATTTGGAAACAGACTTTGTGTAACACCAGTTGCACGTGAAACTACATTAAGAGCTTAGAAAGATCTAGCTGAGTATATTTGGGGGAAACATGCAATTATTAGTTTTTTTTACTGAGCATTTCAAATTAACTCCAGGCATTTTACCCATTTTGACCAAATGACACATTTCTTGATGTAATTTTAGACTTCAGATTAAGTTTTGGTTGAAGATTTAAAATCTCACTGGTTTATGTAAGTAAGATGAGGATGTAATTTCAGAGCCATGCTCTCCCTGGGTAACAAAAGGCAATCAATCCGATGGCCACACTGGATTTATTTCTGAGATCTGATGGACTGGATTTGCTTAGGAGTGAGGGAGATGGCTCAGCAAGTAAGGTGTTTGCTGCGCAAGCATGAAGCTCTGCATTTCAACCCCAGCACCCATGTAAAACGCAGAACAGGGCAGCACCTCCATAACCCTACACTGGACGCACAGACAGGTAGATTCCTGCAGTTCACTGGCCAGCCAGTGTAGCCCGATTCCACCTGCAGCTGAGGAGCTGTTGTCAGCTGCTGGCTGCTGGGGTCGGGGTGGGGCATTCTTCTTCAGTGGTATAGCCATTGGAACCTGCCTATGCCCATGGTCACGAAAGCAACCTTAATTAAATTGCATACATGTACGTGATCTATCTTCAGCATATGTATTCTATTACCCTCCCTGGTCCCTTCCCCTTCCCACTGAACCCTTCTTCACAAGCCTCCTCTCTCTCTCTCTCTCTCTCTCTCTCTCTCTCTCTCTCTCTCTCTCTCTGTGTGTGTGTGTGTGTGTGTGTGTGTGTGTGAGAGAGAGAGAGAGAGAGAGAGAGAGAGAGAGAGAACCTTTCCCCTCCCCATCCAGACTCAGGCACATTTACTCCCATTTGCGTTGCTAGTATTTGGGCTCCATCATAGACTAGCTCTGGAGCTCTGACTCAGGGAAGGTCAAATGAAATCCAGACACATTCTTGTGCTATCCTTGTGTATCCAAGGGATACAGTCGAGGCAGGAATGGGGCATTTGGTGTTTTCATGGAGTGCTTGGGCTGTATGAATTGGAGCAAACCATTTCCCAGGAGATGTCTTAGAACTAGACTGAATTCTCTAAGGCTTACATTCAGTTTTAGTGCTAGGAGCAATGGCAACATGTTCCTAGAAATGAACCTTAATTGCTTCCTTA